TCTCCTCATCTTCCCATCTTCTTTCACCCAAGGTCTACTCATGCATGTTATCACTAAGCTGGCAGCAGTGGGAGGCTACAGAGGAATTCTTATGCCCGAAATTCTCCCCCAGTGCCATCCAACCCTCCACCACTCCATCTCCATTTTTACTGCCATCGTTCCACTGCTGTCCTCCTCTCTCACTACTGTAACCATTATACCTTCCCTGCATCCAATGTATGTCAGCTAATCCTCTTCTCTTCTCTTCTCTTCTCTTCTCTCCTCTGCTCTCTTCTGCTCTCCTCTCCTCTCCTCTGCTCTCCTCTCCTCTCCTCTCAAAACTTGCTGATAAGCAGAGCAGACTTCAAACAGGTGTGAAAGGTTTGTATTTCCCCCACCACCAACTGACTCCCTCCCCTCCAGTGGAACCAAAACACTGCGACTAAATCCACTATCCTGCACCCTCACCTGCTGCTGGCGCTCCATTATACGCCCCTGCAGTTACTGTGCCACTCTGGGCCATATCCCAGATATGTGTGCCAGTCACCCAATGATTCTGCAGTGATGATGATGACAGCCCTGCACTTTCATTCAACAGCTATGTCCCTCAGACAAGTATTCACAACTTGGTACGAGTGGACCTCCCATTAGAAGAAATACAATTGAGTGAGCATAAACAAATGAGCCGCTGTGCATGCACAAACACACAGAGAGGCTGACACAGTACATGTTTGTGCATGGAGGAGGGAGGGCCACCCCTTGCTTGCAGTTTTGGTATAGAGTTTCCATCCACCTGTTGCTTTCATAACTTGAGTGGAAATTAGTGAAAAAGTTTTAAGCACATATGGCACCCCACTGGAGAATTAGCGTCACCAACTGTTAATCTCAATGAACCTCCTAATATTTGCACAACAGTAGTGGATGGAAACATTCATCACTCTGCATTTTCTGGAAATTTGTTTAAAATGTGTGCTATGTGCTTCAGTTTTTATTGTCTTCATTTTTGTTTGTTCCTTGTCCGATCATCATCATATTTCAAACTGTACTCTGTTCTCTGGTGTCTTTAGGTTTGGGCCCAAAGCCTGTTAAACCTGTCAAATCTGGACAGATTTTGTTTTCTGCAGGTTCTGCGAGACAGATGTCAAAACAATTGTGCCACCAAAGGAACATGATTTGGCTTTTAAAGTTCAATGCATAATTTAAAGTCCAGTCATTGTGTCTTCCATGCGATCCGCACAAGATCCACATGCTCAGTTACTTAATCTGTAGTTAAATAAAACTAGAGAAATAAATTAACTAAATAATATGAAGCACAGAAGTGTGGTTATTTTACACCAGTCTAGTGTTGCCTTTGCATGATTCAGTCAAGATGTAGATGTGTGCAATGACACTACACTTTGGCATGGCACTTTTCAAATAAGAAGCTACAGGAGGAACAAACATATTGCCTGTCTTGCTGCCATCAGAAGGCTATGTAGGGGGTTAAAAGCAGTTGTAAATGACACATGTACTGTACTCGTAAGAATAACCAATTACTATGAGGTGCCCCTAGGGACATTATTCAGAATTACCATGCATATACATGTACTTTTCCTCTCACATACACATATGAAACCAAACTCATTCACATACTATACTGAAAAGCTCACACACATACAAGTAAAATGCTTTTACATACACAACTGAAATGCTCTCACACACACAACTGAAAAGCTCACACATTTCTGTGGTGTCCGAACAATAATGCTGCGATGATGTGTTGAGAAGAAATCCGCTTGACACTGTTTTTGATCATAAAAGTTTATTACATCAAGGAGTTCAGCATCAATTACAAGCTCTGCAGCAGCTTGGAGAGTGACCCAGCCCGATGACCACTCTGTCTCTCTGTACATCAAACACAGCTTATATAGGACATGTTTAGGTATCTGCTGGATACCATATAAGGGTCAGAGTCTGCAAACTAAGGCTCCAATCCATATAAGGGCAAAGTTCTATAGGATAAGTGTAGACATCTTGTTGGACAGCAGATAAGGGTCTGAGCCTCCACGTAACCACTGACCTCCGCTCTCTCCTTAAAGGTCACTAATCCTCTATCCAGCTGCTACAGTGCTATGTTAAACTGTTATGCGTCAAATGCACATATGTTATACACCACACATACAAGTGAAATGCTCTCACACACACAACTGAAACGCTCACACACATACAAGTGAAATGCTCTCACACACAACTGAAACGCTCTCACACACACAACTGAAACGCTCACACACATACAAGTGAAATGCTCTCACACACAACTGAAACGCTCACACACATACAAGTGAAATGCTCTCACACACACAACTGAAACGCTCACACACATACAAGTGAAATGCTCTCACACACACAACTGAAACGCTCACACACATACAAGTGAAATGCTCTCACACACAACTGAAACGCTCTCACACACACAACTGAAACGCTCACACACACACAACTGAAACATATACATATTATTCAATAATATATGGATAATATGTCCAAGGGGAAGCAGATACAAGGAAAACAAAATGGGTCCTAAGACCGACCCCTGAGGCACACCATATTTAACTGGACAGAACGAAGAGACATAGTTGTTTACAGACACGCAAAACTTCCATTTGACAGGTAGGATGAAAACCATTCTAGGGTAGTACCAGAGATCCCCACCCAGTGCCTCAGTCTGTCTAACATGATGTTGTGATCAATGGTGTCAAAAGCAGCACTATGGTCCAGGAGTACCAGGACTGAGCACATACCTTCATCAGCAGACATTAAAAGGTCATTGGTGACTTTAAGCAGGGCAGTCTCAGTGCTGTGGTACTTCCTGAAACCAGACTGAAACTTTTCTAATAATTTGTTATTTTCAGTGCAGTGAGCAGCTGTTTGGATGCAATTCTTTCTAGAATCTTTGCAATAAAAGGCAGTTTTGAAATTGGTCTAAAATTTTGTGGGAGGGAGGGATCTAACCCAGATTTCTTTAAAAGCGGGTTCACGCAAGCCGTTTTAAAATAATCAGGGACACAACCAGTAGATAGGGAGCTGTTAAAAACAGAGATCAAATGGGACCCAACAGAATCTATTACTTTCAGTAAAAACTGTAAAAAAGTGGGCTGGAGGACACTCTCATTTGTGATACTGTTCAAATATCAGACTAGTCGATGGGATAAAACTGGTTAAAACTCTCTTGTTGCTGGTGAGGGAACTCTGAGTAAGAGGCCACGGGGGTAATAGAGGCTCTGATTGACACCACCTTATTGGTAAAATAAGATAAAAACAATTCACAGTCATCATTACTTCCAGCTGAGGCACAAGGAGGGGTTGGGTTTACCAGCTGATCCACAGTCTTAAACAGAAACCTGGGATTGTGTTTATGTGTAGTAATGAGTTCAGAAAAATAGTGTGTTCTCGCATCCTTAACCAAGTTATTGTAGTTAATTAATAAATCCTTCAGACTGAGGTAATGGACTTGGAGACTGGATATTTTCCATCTGCACTCTGCTTTCCTGCATTCCCTTTTTAGGCTGCAAATGCTGTCATTTATCCAGGGTTGCTTACTAGCTTTAGACGTAGGCCTAACCTTTAGAGGAGCAGTAATATTTAATGACAACAAGCAGATATGATTGAAGTGATCGACCAGATTGTTGGTGTTGAAATCAGACAGGTGATGGCTTTGGCTCTGAAAGAATGCGCATGTCACGATCCTGTCTGCCATGTCATGTTTTGTACTTTTAGTCAGTTTTCTTATCTGATCCGTATCAGGGAGACCCGATGTGCGGAGGAGAGGCAGCCCCGTCCGAGCCTCTCTTGCAGCCACGGACCACTACTTCAGCCCAGGTTGACTGATGCTTCGGAGTTGAGCAGGAGGAAAGCCTTGAAGGGTAGAGGGGTCCCATAACACGTTGTCCTGGATGTTAGCGGTTGCGCTAAGAGAAACAATCTGTTTGGCTTGTACTGAAGCCACATCCATAAAGCCAGTCACCAGGGAATCTTTCTCTTTGAGTTCCTCTGAAAGTCGTCAGATGTCTTCCATAAGGTCAGCAATCTTTTTGTTTGCTGTCTTAAGGAGTGTGCAGTCCTCATGGGGCAGAGTTATCTCGGCTAGCATATCAGTAGCGTTTTTACGGTCATCTAGCTTAAAATCCAGGTCGGATGACTAAAATCCTTAACCCACGTAAAACTTAAGTTAAAAACATAAGTTAAATAAAAAGGATATAAAAAATGTAACGTAAAAGTGTGGATTAAAACTGGATAAGAGTCAGGTTTAAGACGGAGCTTCCGACAGGTAGCTACAGACGCCAACGCATGCCCACATACAAGTAAAAGCATTTTACTTGTATGTGTGTGAGCTTTTCAGTATAGTATGTGAATGAGTTTGGTTTCAAATGTGTATGTGAGAGGAAAAGTACATGTATATGCATGGTAATTCTGAATAATGTCCCTAGGGACACCTCATAAACTACAGTTTTTCACAATTGCTAAGACACATTTCTTGAAACCTTCATACATTTTCTCGAAACTTTAAACACAAAACCCAGTCTTAAAACTACATTCACAAAACCCCTGACTCTTCTGGCAAAATCAAACAATCACCTCAAAACCATGTGATCTGTGCTCAAAATCAAACAATGCTTTCAAAACATACAGTTTTTCTCAATTGCTAAAACACTAAACCCTATTGTCTGAACCAAATGCTCCGTTGCCTGAACCCACTGATTGAATCAATCACTCTTTTGGCAAAACCATAAGCACTTTTCACCTGTTTAGACACAACTTGCCAACACATTTTCATTGTGATGCACACGTGCTGCATATTGGTGAGCACAGGTGACAAAACAATTAAAGCACAGGTGTCACCACTTGAACACAACAACTCAAAATTGATCACACTTGTGGCTAATGATGTGAGGGAACATATACAGTAAGCCAGTTCAGAGAGCACTGGTTTGTGAGGCCCTACAATGGATAGAAATCTGAGAGGAGGAGTTCGTGTGAGAGGAGGTCGAGGTGGTCAGCGAAGACAAAGAACAGTAATATCTGATGAAATCAGAGCTACTGTGATTGACCATGTTCTTGTCCATGGTATGAGCATGAGGGAGGCTGGACAAAGGGTACAACCAAACATCAGTAGATTCACTGTGTCCACCATAATCCGAAGATTTAGAGAAGAGAACAGGTAATTACCTTTTTTTGACATTATAGTATAGAATGTAAATGTTTACAGCAGTTACTGTATGACATACTATATACTGTACCACAGTATACTGTAAGTAAATATATGTTTCAGTACATCACTGTACCAATGTACTGTAGTATTGTAATGGAGGGTTGGTCTAACTGTTTGTAGGCCTAGTATTCCATGGTGTAGTATCCCCACACCAAGAGACCCTAATTGTTGATATGGTCCGTGAGAACAATGCCATTAAACTGAGTGAAATTCAGCAGAAGATCATTGAGGACCATGTAAATTTTGAGGGTATCAACAGTGTCAGCCTCTCTACTGTTGATTGTGTCCTCAAGCGCAACAGACTGCGCATGAAACAGCTATACAGAGTGCCCTTTGATTGCAACTCAGACAGAGTCAAAGAGCAAAGATTCCAGCATGTACAGGTTGGCATATATCCAGACACATTCAATGTTGATTACTCTAAGTAGTGATTTACTGTAGTGGCCTAAATCACTTTTTCCGGATCACTTACAAAACTATATCTATTTCTACAGAGGGTTTTTCAACTGGATGCAATGGAAAGACCCCATTAATACATCTACATGGATGAAGCTGGGTTTAATCTCACCAAAAGGAGAAGGAGAGACCGTAATGTGATTGGCCAATGTCACATTATGTGCTGCCATCAGCAATCATGGGGTTGTCCACCATCATGCCAACCTGGGGCCCTACAACACTCACCAGCTCCTCATTTCCCTCAATCACATGCGAGATGCTCTGTTAGGGCAGCAGGATGAGCATCCCATCTATGTTGTTGTTTGGGACAATGTGAGTTTTCACAGAGCCCTCCAGGTTAGAGAATGGTTCAATATGAACCAAGGTTTTATCAATCTTTGCCTTCCACCGTACTCCCCTTTCCTAAACCCCATTGAGGAATTCTTCTCCTCATGGCGGTGGAAGGTATATGAACGCCAACCTTACACCAGGGTAAATCTCCTGCAAGCCATGGGACTTGCCTGTGGTGACATAGGTGTGGAGGCATGCCAAGCCTGGATACGGCATGCCAGGGTTTTTTTCCCCCGTTGCCTGGCCAGACAAAATGTGGCCTGTGATGTGGATGAAGTCCTGTGGCCTGACCCAGTACGGAGACATGATGCTGTGGCTGAGTAATGCACTTATTTGTATATTTTTGTACTTTATTTTTACATGGGCTTACTGTACACAAGTGGCAAATGCACAAGATTTCTGTTTTGTCTTTTTGTACAAGTGCCTAATGCACAGGTATTTTTTGTTTTGCAACATGCATTTAGCCTACAGTGAACAATAAACATTTATTTCTCCAGCTTCATGTCCTGAGCATTGTGTTTTCTATTTTTCTACGTAGTGTTTAGTGACTGTTCAGTAGTGTTTTTAATTTTGATTGACTCGGGGCACGATTTGACAACATAGTTCAGTTTTGAGCACAGATTGAACTGTTTTGAGGTGAAAGTTTGGTTTTGCAAGAAGAGTATGAGGTTTTGTGAATGTAGCTTGAAAATTGGGTTTTGTGTTCACAGTTTAGAGAAAAGGAGAGCAGCTTTCAAGAGCTGTGTCTTAGCAATGGAGAAAAACTGTAAACACAGCCAGACAATATGACGCAAAATTAAAGTCAATGAGAGATTCATTCTACCTCAGCATCATGTCTTTGTGCTGGGTCCGGCCAGAGGACTTCGTCCACATCACATGCAACCTTGTCCCTTGCCCAGCAAAGGAGGACAACCCTCGCGTGTGCTGGACGCAGCCTGACTGTAACAACACTTCATACCTATCTCACCACAGGCCAATTCCATTGCCTGTAAGAGATTTTCCCTAGTAAATGAGTTTCGGCCATAGACCTTCCACCATCAGTCAGAGAAAAATTCTTTTGGATTGAAGTAAAGGCTGTAGGTTGAAGGTAATCATTTATGAATCACTGGTTGCAAGAAGTGATTTTCTCTCTGGGTCACCTGGCTGACGTACTGCGGTAAGCGTGTCGACTCATTTCCATTTCCGGTGCTTGTGTGTTGGTACCGTGTTGTGCTGCTCTCGCTAAATAATGGGATGGTGGGAACTGTTGGGCTTCTGTAAATAGCATCATAGAGTATGGTCTAGACCTGCTCTTTTATGAAAAGCGCTGTGAGATAACTGTTGTTGTGATTTGGCGCTATATAAATAAAATTGAATTGAATTGAATTGGTTGCTGGTTTACATTGAACTTCTTGCTTAGCCACAGTGAAAGGTGACATTGTCCCATAGACAGGATGTACTGCTGGCTGATGATCCTGCTGCTCATGCTCAAATACAAAATTCCAACGACCACCCAGAAAAGTAGAGAAGATGTTCAGTGTTATATGGCCCCAAGGTTGAATGAGGGTAGAGAAACTGTCCCTTACGTATAGCTTGGTCAAAGGGTGACATTGCCACCACGCCAGGGACTTGACCACATTTTGGTTTGATCACATCATTAGAAACAAGTGTGCAGAATTATGAGTTGTTGTGTGTAAAAGATGACAGCTGTGTTGTAGTTGTGTTTAACTTTTGCCGTATGTATTTATCATTTTGCAACACAAGTGCATCACAGTGCAAAATGTGTTTTAGTGAGTGAGAATGTGTTTAGAGTTTTGCAAAAAGAGTGGATGACATTTCCAAAATGTGTATTAACTACCTGAACTTGTTTAAGGTTTTGCCAAAAGAGAGATTGGTTTGACAAATGGGTTTAGGCCACTGAACATTGGGTTCAGAGAATGGGGTTTAGTATTTTAGCAGTTGTGAAAAACTGTAATCTTTAGTTTAGTTCAGCTCAGTTCAGACTGCCTTGCTGGCCATTTTAGTTAAGTTCTCCCACACTACAAAAACACATTCTTCCATCTTTCCTTGCAGAAAGTTTTGGTTGTTGGAGCAGCAGAAGGCACAAATTGTGTGATACATAATCTTGAGATGACAGTGTAGCAAGAGTGGGATATATAGAAGTTTCAGTAAACATGTAAAGATGGATGTAGCAGTAATTTAAAAGCAAGATGCAGCCATGCTTGTAGAAAATAGAAAGAGGTTAAGGAAGTAAAAAAAAACATTAGAAAAGAAATATGCTTGCAGAGGATGTTTCAGAAGTGTAAAGCAGAGGTCAGGAAGAAGGAGGGAGGGGGCTGGAGGAGAGGAACAAGTTTTGAACAATCTCCAGCATCCCTGTGCAGTGTGAACAAGGTGAGGTCATCACTGGGGGAGCTGGGGATGAATTCTAATCACAACAGTAAGGTCAACAGAGTAATCCCTGTCCGCTGAAATGTCATTGTTTCCCTGCTCTGATGCGGCTCCCCACGCACAGCATCACAACAACCAGCTATCGATCACATACTAATTAGGAATGGATGAGGCCTGCTGTATGCTGTACAGGATACAAGGGATACACAAATGTGGATATAACTCGCAAATACACGAGAGAATTAAAGATATGGCTTTTAAACACACACATGCTGACATATACTTATGTGACAAAATATTTGGCTTATATACACTCTCCTGGGATGGGAAGTCAGGTGTGTAATCTGAACCTGAATGGAGCATAGGCAGAGATGAAAAGGAAATGGGACTGCAAGATAAAGATGAACAAGCTAACGTGGTACACAAATGCAAAAAAGATGAAAGACAGTATGGAGGAACGTCAACATTTTATTTGGATCAGTGGTGCTCCTGGGAAATATTAGTTTATAACTAACTAACAGTGGGAAATCTGGATTATGGATTTTCATCAGACTGAGAATGCAATCAGAGGGTGAACTGCTGACCTCAGCTTGACATGCTTAATGGAAACTGTAGCAACTAGTAACTACAAATGTTTATTAGGGATCCAAGCGGCGAAGCTGCTGGAGCCCTATTGGTTTTGTTCTGATTCTTCTTCTTCTTTCTTTCTCCTTTTTCTCCGCTACAGGTGTTTAGGCAGTTTGCAGAGCAGTCCTGGGATATTCTTCCACTAGGGGGCGGTCATCTAGCTACACTTGCAAAAAGTTAATACCTCGTAATTCGCTGGATCGATTTGTACAAAATTCTGCAACCTATGGTCAATTCAGAAGTCAGTGACTATATTTTTCAGAATATGCTAATTAAATTAACATCTATATCTCCACAAGTCTTTCTTCAAACGCTACCGAACTCGACAGAGTCGTTCTTCAGATGGCCAATATCAAGTGTTTCAAAGGGTTTTCACATCAGTCAAATGGTGAGTCTGCAGTGATATCCAGTATCTTGCTGTAGCTTGTGCAGTATGAACAACATTTTCTTTTTAACTCAGTTTTGGATGAAATGCCACCAAAATAATACACAACACACCAAAAACTGGCAGAATGATGCATGATTTATTTATTTATTTTTCTCACCAACATCTTGACTGTTGTAAGCGTTCCGGGTCTGGCACATGTGACGTCACTATCTCAACTTGAGAGAAGGTGTGCCAAAACAGCCTCTCACTAGTCGCTCAGTCAGTAAGTCACCTAACCTGGAGATCTGAAGTTCCAGGATTCAAACCCCCAGGTGGTTTAGGCAGACTTGCAGACAGTGGGGGTGTTCAGATCATGGTAGTTCTCTATTTTATTTGGATCCTGAGACACTTTAGTCTTATTTTTCTCTGTTTAAATGTGTGCAGCTTAAACTTTAAATCTTGGAAACACAAAATGTCGCAGGTGGGTTGCACATTTCACCCAGTAGTCAACATATAATGACACTCTCTGATTTTAAGGTGATGCTGAAAAAATTAAGTTTGCGATTCCACAATTATATCAAAGTTCGAAGTTATCCTCTCCTTATTTTTTATTGTACATTCAAAGGATATTTTCTATATTATTTTTTACAGTTCATCTTTTGTACTGATCCAACCAGGAGAGTTTCATGTTGATTCAAACTGTATAAGTGCTCCAACTGCATTACTAGCATTATGAAAAAAATGAAGGGGTCTTCTACAAATCAGGGGTGCCCTAAATAGCTCCTCCTATTTTGCAACTATATGTGAAACTTTAAATCATGATATTAATGTACAGTATATTATGATATAGTACATTTTCAACTGAGAAAGCAATTATAGAAAAAAACAACATGGGACAACGTGAGTTGTTTTGCTAATCCACCGAAATAATACTTGAAAAATCAAGAAACTTCAATTACATTGATGCAAAAAATCCTATGTCTACACTGCCATAATGTTATCCTTCTGAATAATTTGCATCATATGCTGCAATGGTCTACTACCTGTATAAACAGGAAAAGCAGAAAAGCAACGTCCCTGGCAGATGACAAATGTTATGGTATATAGTAGATTGTCATGTTGCCCTAATTACAGTTTGTAACACCTCTCTCTCTATCTCTCTCTCTCCTCTCAAACACACACAAACACACACACACACGTACACACACAAACCAGCAGTAAAGAGGACCAGAGAGACGCATTATGCTCTGCCATCTTGGTTCAACCAATCTAAACTAACATCTAGATAATGGGAGCGACAGCATTGCTCGTGTGTGTGTGTGCGCGTGTGTGTGAAAAACACAGGAAACAGCCCTCGTCAGAAAGACAACAACTAAAGGAAAAAACAACAGCAAGTTGCAGCTCAAAACTGAGAAGGAAATGCCTGGAGAGAAAAAGTACATTCAAAAGACACAGGCAGCAAAGCAGCACAAAAAGTCGAAAGAGAAGTAAGAATAATAGTTTTTGAAAGGAAAGTATAAAAGGAAGTAAGTCTGGAGGATGGGATGCATTAAACTGTACACAAAGAAATTTATCAACATGAGAAAAAGCCACAGTATTTTTAAAGCTAGGCCCATAATGATTCTTAATTTGCATTGAGTCTGTATCCACGTCAGCAATATGGTATTCCATATGAACCTATGATTGATGAGCCTTGCTCTGATGACATTATTAAACTGATCCAACTCATTAACATTTTAACTACCTGGGTGCTTTGGTCAGAAAGGCAAAGAGAAGGAAAGAAATGCTAATGTAATGCAAAGATATAATACAGTCGTAAGTTTTATTCACTTGGGCGACGCAATTATATATATATATATAGAATGGGTTGAAGTGTAAAATTCACTCAAATTCACATGATGTGCTAGATTTTGATGGTGGCGTCAATATATATGTCATTCCCAATATGGCTTCATCTTTTACCTCTATTCTTTCATCTTGCCTCCTTTCAGTCAATTACCCTGAGTACAGTTTTATAATATACAAGCTACCAGTCTGCTGACTAAGATGCATTATCTATGCATCCACAGAGGATCACAAACAGATTATTGCTCATAAAATGCAACCAGGCTTTAAACCCCACATACACACAC